AGCTCAAAGACGTATTTAGAGGCTTCCATATCTGTCCAGAGATGTGAATATAAAAGGAAATGTTGTAGCCATTTATTGACCGAGTTGACGAACTAGAAGAGTCATTCTGAGGTACTGCGCATGTAGAGAACAGAAGAATTCGAACAGTTCAAAAGAAGTAATTTGATAACCATTAATTTTGGGGTCCTAGGTTTCACACCAGCATCCTGATGCCCTGAAACGAGAGAGGTTGTCTAAAAGACCATGTCAACAACATGTTGATTTGAGTCTTTATTCCATTGGGCGTAGAGGGTGAAAAACGTACTTCATTTTGCATTTTATGACATCAAAAGTTGCGCTGCAGTTATATCAGGGATGACTGTGACTTGTTTTGAAGAAGAACGATTGGCAGTACACCTAAATGGTGACTTTTGTTTGATTATCGATTCATTTCAGGTTTTATATTTTTCTTGCTGGCCGCTGGCACAGATTGTATAGTTTTGCGTTCTGTCAGAGGCAAACTACGTCCGTACACGTATACAGTATGTTGGTATATTTCGGTATGTGAGTGAATATTAATGTCGTATCAATCTCGCTCTCCATCGCTGTCTGTCTGTCGATGTCTGTCTGGCTAGCTGGCTGACTTTCTCTCTCTCTCTCTCTCTCTCTCTCTCTCTCCCTCTCTCTCTCTCTCTCTCTCTCTCTCTCTCACACACACACACACACACACACACACACACACACACACACACACACACACTCTCTCTCTCTCTCTCTTTCTCTCTCTCTCTCTCTCTCTCTCTCTCTCTCTCTCTCTCTCTCACACTCTGTGTGTGTGTGTCTATGTATGTGCGTGTGCGTGTGCACTTGCGTGTGTGCGCGCTTGCGTGTGTGTGTGTGTGTGTGTGTGTGTGTGTGTGTGTGTATGTGTGTGTGTGAGCGCGCGAGCGTGGGTTTACTGACATGACACAATGGGGGATAATGCATGCACATGCAACAGTACAGAGTTGTAAATGAGGAATATAAGAGCAATGAATACAATCTACAAATCATATTGAAACGTAACACTAAAGAGCAAAAACAGGACCACACATTAAGAACACACATTGCAAGATAAAATATTAAAGGAACATATTGGGTGAAAAGCGAAGTAATGTGTACAGAGGGATATATATATAATTTCTTGATAAAACGGGTGTACCCTGATCACACCAGTAAGAAATTTCATTATCACAAAAGGCAAAAATTCTACGTGAAAACAGTTTGGGGCCCTGAAGCATTCCGTTTCAGAACAGCATCATCATGTACATAATATGATAGTTGTATATACAGTAACGATTACGTGTTAATTTTTTTTTCCTAGACAAATAATTGAAAATCAACCCAAGTTCCTGAAATAATAAGAGACAGCATATAATGAATAAATAAACAATGATGACATGTTAGTTTAGAAACAGGGCCTCCCGATTTACTCCCAACTCCTATCACATTGATTGAAGCTAGTTAAACTCTTTTATAGGTACCACAGATCAATGTTACCTGTTTTGAGCAAATCATTTCACGATCTCTCTCCTTGCAACCCTTCCTGATGATCAAATACAATCTAAAGAGGCACCCAGCCTTGGGATGGGGAGGGTGGAGGAAGGAGGCGAGTTGTACTTTAATTTACCAAAGGGAGGGACCTGGAAGGGTTAATACCGACCAGGAATTCCTTTCACTTCTTTCAAATATCTTTTACTTAAATTTCAATTGTGGGAAAAGTAACCTTAACCCCTTCCCAACCCCACCCCACCCACTCCCCAATTTGACCTTACTTGACCGAGTACGCGCATCGAGGTCTTCATATATCCTGCTTGTAGATCGCCGTGACATCGTGGGAAAAGACACTTTTAAGAATGAAAGATCAACATTTGCTGTTAGCCCGTGGACAATATATTTTGTCTCCTTTTCATTATCCAAGCAGGGCTGGGAATACCTAACCTCTAAGGGCCGATCCCAAGATGGACAGGTCACGGTGTCCCATCAGAAAATTGGAGATAATAGTTAATTAAAATCCGACAACCCCACGTGGTAATCGAACTCAGATCTTCTGTTTTCAAATACTAAAAGACTTACTATCACACCAAAGAAGCTAGGTCCCAAAAGTAAGACAGAAAATGCTGTTCAAAACATTTTCCTAAATTGAACAGAATAAATATCTTTAGGGCAAAAAAGCAATGAGCTTAACCAGAGCACTGAAGATTGTCAAATGTTTTGGAGCACCACCCCCCCACCCCCCCACCCCCCCACCCCCCCACCCCACCCCCAGAAACAACAAGTAAAACCAGCAACTATAAACATGTCACTATCAAGAGCGAAGTTGACATGAACTGAATGTGATTATTTCCGTACAGCAAATCAGATTACAACTGTGAAGGGGAATATAAATTAAATTACCAGTGGGCGCCCAGAATGTCATAAAAATAGACCAAGATCGAGACAGAGAAAACCAGAATATCCAGTTGGACTGGATATTTCTATCCATAATAACGTTTTATGAATCCATCTGCTTAGTTTACAGCAAATATGAGAGAGTCCTCAGGAGTTGAGAAATTCATCTTGGAATCAAACCAATACTCGAAGAATTAAAAGGCCCAATGAATCATGACATAAATATATTATTGCCTAGGTTTTATAGATCTGAAAGGGTATACGATAAGTACCCTTTCTCTCAAAACTCCACTCTGAAGCAAAACTGCTGTAGCTGTTGTTATTATCGTTCCTTTGTTTTTGCTATTGTTTTTATGCTGCAATCGGGATCTCGAAAGAGAAGCTTACTGGCGATATAATTTCCAAAGTCAAGAGATACTTTTCGATCGATCAAGCCACAATGTAGGCGGTTCTTATGAAAGTTTATGACTTTCATTATCTCCTTCCAACACTGCAAAAACTATCTACGGAATCTTTTCATCAAAGTGTTAACGATGTCACTTTCACGCTCAGTAGATCTATCGCTCACACGGGCCTAACGAGATAATACCTTGCAATACTTTCTTTGTCCAGAAAGACGTTATTTATAATTTCAAAGAAAACGAAGAGCACTGGGTCTGTTGGCCTACAGTCTGTTAGTCCATCCCAATTTGTTGCAAAATTGTCTTAAGATTTTTTTGGCCCCCATCTACAAAACATTGAGTGTTTAGAAGGCTGACGAGTTGGGCCTTTCGTGTCAGATCGAAGCCGGAGCCGGACTTAGAGGAATAGACCCTACGTATCTGCCCCGAAAGCCAATAGAAAGCGTGCACCATGACTAAATTCTAAAACAAATTATAATCAAGGCTGCAGCTTTAAGAGTCCACATACCTGAAATGCATGTTTTTTTCGAAAAAGAACATGAGCATGATACTATGAACCACAGAATGAATGAGCACTTAATGGCAGAACCTCGACTGCGTGAGCAACTCTTATGGCGTAATCTTGGACACACTGTGCCTTACCGTACATTGCACTTTAAAGACATGCCATTTCGTCATAGATCAAGACATTCACACTCACCAAACATAGAATGATAACAATATTACAGGTTCTGACATGTAAGTATGCTGTCCATCCCGCGTGAGCTGGAACCATAACTCGAGTCCTATCTGAGACTGCAACTCTAACTTGTTAATTCGCTCTCCACCCCCCCCCCCCAACTCCCTCTACAGCAGCCCAGAAGATCAGTGTGTGTGTGGCGGGGGGGGGGGGGGTAGTGGTCGAGATGTTTGTCTACCTAGGCATACAAAATATATTCACAAAGACGGGCAATGAGATCGGTGGCCTGTGCATTATGTCACTGAGTAAGACACTCTATCAATAGCTAGCTCTGCGCTGGGGCGACAGCAGGCATGGTATTTTAATGTGTCGTTTCCCTTGTACAAAATGATAAAGAAATATATATCGATAAATATAATATCATGTAGTGTGACTTCGAGGTGAAATCAGCACTTGACAAAATAAGACAGTCAAAGAAACGGTCATTGTCCACCATTAGGGTAATTTTTATCGAATTTTTAGTGTGGCCCAGCACCTTTAACGTTCACTTTTAACACATTTCTGTGTGGATTTTTACAGGACAAGAGTTTTAATCAAAGGCACAGAAATTATAAAATGAGTCTCCAAGTACCCTCAAGCTTTTGGAAATCGCCAAACTGTGGCGGTTATTTTCTCGTTAACTTTACCTTTGACACCAGGCGACCCAAACTTTCTTCAATTGAAAATTGAAAGACTTCGATTTTAAGAAAGAAGTGTAATAAACAAAAAATTAAAAGCAAGAAAAATGAACAAGCTTTAAAATTATACCAACAGCCCCATTAGCCAGAAAATTGACAAGCATCTGATTCCACTGTGTTGTGGCACAATGATGTGTACGATTTGTACACACTTATGATATTATGTGATACTGCAAGGTACGTTTCCGAACAGGACGAAGAAAGTCGCAAGTCTTTTTTCAACGACTGGCTCAACAGCAACTTATTGCTTCTTGATCCTGTAAGTAGTGAGAGTCCCGTTGTAACAGGGGGAACGTCATTCTTTAGAATCATGTCGGGGGTGGGGTTGGGGGAGCTGTAATGTACGAGGTCAACTTTTGCTCTGCGGTAACCGATTGTCACTGCGACATTGGTCTCACCAGTCACAGAATGCACTTCTCCCAGAAATACAGACTAAGTGGAACAATGGATGTACTTTCAGTATCAACATAAATTGTGTTAACCGACTTCCCTCAGCACGTTTCTGAGAGGGTTTACGAAAAGCGTTATTGCCTCAATTGTTAATAATAACATAGCCCCTCTTATGGATGGATCTCAACTAGCGCTCAAATTTCCTAATACACGAGCGGGCGAGACTCCATTTTAAGAACTGTAGAATAGCAACAATAGCGTAACAGTTAGTGTGCTTGCGTGCGTGCGTGCGTGCGTGCACGTGCACGGGTGCCTGAGTGTGTGTGTGAGTGTGTGTATGTGTGTGTGTGTGTGTGTGTGTGTGTGTGTGTGTGTTTATGTGCGTGTCTATGTGTGTGTTTATGTGTGTGTGTGCAGTTAACTGATCCTCTACAGCAATGAATGACTCGACTTTGGTATCGAGTACTCGTTCAGAGGCGCTGATTCTCTCACGGGTGTGGGTAACCCTGCTCCTATAGCGTCGTCAAGGCGACTGAAGGAAGGAAGACGATCAGCAAATCGCGAGGGGGAACCTTTGACTTTTCTCCCTCGTCCTGAACGCCCGGTGCATTTTGTGGATGCTTTGAGAATTCTGAAAGTGGCGGGTTTGTTCCCTTCGTGTGAGCTGGGAGAAGATGAACCGATCATGCTCGAAGCAATGTCTCTGCTACGGTTGATGTTCGACCAGCTGAACGAACACGACACACGAGGTTCGTTGAGGGCAGAGTCTGTGAGATGCTTCAGGGAGCACGCGCTGCTGGAGCGGCGGAGGTGAAAGGTCATTGCCTCAGGAGAGGGAATCATGTTGCGATTCGCCTCGATCCTGCCGTGAGATCCTTGTCGAGAGAGAACGGTAGGTTCTAGAGGGACTCGAGATCTGCCACTTGATCCTTTGCTACTTCCAGGGAACTTGTGCTCCTTCATAGGAGGTGTGGCAACTAGCGAACTTCCGGCGCAGCTTTTAGCTGCAGCTGACTTGGAACGAGGCTCGTTCAGGGTCCCCGAGTTCCACTCTGAGTTTGGAGCGCCACAATGTTTCTGTTCACGACACGACGTCAATTTTTTCTCTACTCCGTTCATGTCCACCACAAATGTCACGTCATCGCCAGCCTCACAACTGACGTCGGCAATAGAGACGCGAGTTATTTCCCCTTTGCAAGTGGCGTCTGTCCGCGGCGAGACAGAGGGAGAGTCTCCTAGCTGGGCGCAGTCAGCAACAGGCCTTGACATTGGCATCTGTTGACAATGTGTCGGTTTGTTCAGCCGGTCTCGGTAGTCTGTCAGGTACTTGAGGAGACGGTCAAAGACGATTCTCTGCCTGGGGTCACCCTTCCAGCAACCAAGCATCACGTGATAGACGGTGGAGGGGCAGTCTTCCGGTCGCTGGAGGAGAATTCCTTGATCTAGAAAGTGAATAACCTGAGGAAAGATGTGATGAAAAGATGTTGATAAATTGAGGAATTTACTATTTAACCTTTTTTCGTTTCAGTTAAAATTGTTTAGGGGTTTGTTTTTTTTTTGTTTTTTGGGGGGGGGGTTGGGGGGTTGTTGTTTTGGGGGGGGGGGTTGTAGTTTTATTTTTTGGGGGGGAGTACGCCTTTAACCCCCTACTGACTCAAATAAATAATTTCGGTGTTCAATCACTTTTCCCAACGGAATGATTAGATGAAGAAAGGATGAGCAAAAAGAAAAACGAGGAGGAAGATAATATACCTCAGGAAATATAACGCTTTATTATATTATATCTGTTTCCACCTCAACAAATGCAGTGTGTCGAAAATCATACTCCAACGAACTAAATGAAGGGGAGGGAAAGAGAACGGGCTGTCGGAGGATGTTAAACGTGAGAGGAAGAAGGTAAGGCTTGACCCATTCAAATGAACCATCCACCCCTGACTGAATCTAAAGTATTGTTCTGAACGCAAAGTTATTCTCTTCCCCTGTCTGATCTTCATCCTTATTATTTCCAACCCCTGACCCCAACCACCAATTCTAGAGCATCCCTCTAAAGTGTTACGATTATCTGTATTCCTTACTTAAAGCCCTATTCAACACTAATCGATTTTACGTGAGTCTAAAACATTTTATCAACCCCGGACATGAAGTATTGCCACTCTCAAAAAATATTTACACTGCTCAATTAGCTTTTCACTATTCATTTTTCACTGCTGGTGATATATTAAATATGCCATTCGCTAGCGTAGTTGTTTTCATGTTTTCACAACACACAAGAACATACCAAAAACACTATTTTCTTGGTGAGAAATCGGGTGTAACCTGCTTTTTCTATTTTGTTTTCCAGTGTTAAAATTACCGCAACCCGATCCTTGGGGGACGTGGCTGATATCGTGCTGATGTGTGCCGTAAGGTATAGTTTGGAAACTGCGTGGTCTTCCTTTTACTCTCTTCCCTTGCCCCATCATTTGGATCAATCGAAACAAGGCCCAATCCAATTTAAAACACACAAATACACACACACACACACACACACACACACACACACACACACACAAACACACACGCATACATACATACATACAAACACATACAAACATATTAACATACACACACCGACAAACACACACACAGACAAACACACGCACAGACAAACACACCTACACACAAACACACCAGCGTGTGAACACTTTTGATGATTTGATAACTCTTACGATCAGCAGAATGTTTCGAAATCATCTTCACCTAAACTTTGTTCATTTTTTACGTAGCGTCCGAACATATACGCGGGTTACGTTTCATTGGGAAACGTGTGCTTAGTGATTTTAGATGCCATGTGCACATTTAATATCAGGCTTGACCTGTTTAAAATCCCTAACAAAGAGTTCTTGAACTTGCGTCCTGTCGGAGATGAAGGTCCTGCAGCTTCAATAATATCACAGTTTCTAAATGGTCGTGAAACCCGAGCACTGCAATTTAAACTAAATTCAAACAAATACTGACCTCCTCATTCGAATGTCCAAAATATGGTTGTCTGCCGTAACTGAAAATCTCCCATAAGACAACTCCATAGGCCCACACATCACTCTCACATGTGAAGCGGCCATACTTGATGGCTTCCGGTGACATCCAGCGGATTGGAAGCATTCGAGACCCGCCGATCTGAGGAAGGAAAGTTTGAGATTTTATTCACATGGTAAAAACATTTTACATTTGACCCGATCTGGAAAACATAATGCCATTTCACACATAAGGAGACATTTATTTGAGCGACTTCTTATGCACGACAGGGTATTTCGAAGCAAGTGATATCAATACGAGAGTGGTCAGGACATTCTTTCGAGAGATCAGGCCTGATGATCCGTTACATAGTGTAGAGCAGAGAAAGGGCTATTTTGGGCATGGCAAGACCGAGGAAATAGAGTTATTAGAAGATATGCGAGAATATCTTACATATTAAAGGACAGTAGGATGTCGATCGGCGGAAATAGTTTACCAGGCGCAAAACAGTCAGGAGGGCATTTCATTTATCAGTTGACAAGAGATGTTTATTTGTACATATTAATCAAAGACATTTCAAGGATATCATCCTCTCTTTATGCTCTATGACAGGTGAGGAACATGCAAGAAGTACCATATTCTACTTGCAAGAGAGAACTAAAAATCAGGGGGCAGGGGGTAGGGGGCAAGGGGCGGAGGTACACACGGAATGGCAAATAACAACGAGGAATAGTTTAACTATTTAAAGCTGTGGGGTTACATTTTATATAGGAGAAGACATTTTGTTGATTGTCAAAGAATCGATAGAATGACATTTAAGTACTAGAAGACACTGTGGGATATTTTATGGATCACAACAGGATGTAGGACAGACAGAGATATTTGACATTTTCAAGGAAAAATATTCTAGTTCTCACTGTTGGTAAAACCGTATAAAGTTTCGGAGACTAAAAAGCTTAAATCAAATATGGTTAATGAAAGTTCTTCATATTTCTCGAGTCACAAGTGCAAATACGCCAACACTAAGAAACAAAACATATACAATTCACTTAGTCATACACACGGCACAAATCTAAACAGACTGTGATGATGACGTACCTACAAAAGTGTATAACAAGCAAATACCCACATAAAGAAACGGAGAATGTGAAAGGCGACTTGGGGAAGATATTTATTAGATATTGAAAAGAAAAGAAGACAAAAAGTATGAGTGACTTATAAAGACAGCGAACTACGGCAACTCAACTTCCCTTTGGGTAAAGCGGGTCCGAAAAAGTCAGATAGTGCTAATATGCTCTTCATAATGAAATAAATATTCGCTGAAAGTAGAATCTTACGTCTTGGGGAACTAATATAACTACGAGTCAAATGTATTGTTAAACAGCAGAGGAGGAATGAAATACTCGTATTGTTAATACAAAAGGCTTTGTAAAAGAATGCCTATCATTTGTCTACTGTCTTCTTGACAATGAAGACTGCAAAGCTTCGGGGGGGGGGGTAATTTTTTTTTAATTTTTAATTTTTTTTTTTGGGGGGGGGGTTGTTCTGTTTTCATATTTGTTGTTTTCTGTCTTGTTTATTTCGTTGAGCAACGTTTTGTTTTCGTTTTCATTTGCTTCTCTGTTTGTTTTGTTTTATTTGGTTTTGAGTTTTTTCTTTTTATCTTGAGGGGTGTGGGACAGGCTGTTTGATTTTTTTTCTTTTTAGAGATAATGATTAAGCTACCTACACACACGCCGTAGCCGCAAGCTATCTAATGGTGTATTAGCTCACTACAGCCCTTTTAACTCAGAGGTACTGGTATATCATATATTTTGCGTTACTACAACACCACTGAATTCATTCCTTTTTTCTTCTTCCTCTTGCTGCTTTGTCTCGTACCCCACATTTGAAATGACATGTATGAGTCTAGAAAGGTTTTTGTTTGTTTGTTTTTGTAAAGTGTTTTATGGCCATATGACACACCTAATATTTTCAGTTGGTAGGAAATTTTGAATTTTGCCCGGGTGGCGGCCGAAGTCTACTCTTATCGATTTTAGACCACCAAGGGATCTTTAACGTGCGCAACTTGCACACGGGTCCTCCGAGATTTTTCACCCTTGTCCGAGAAGGCTAGGTGTAGATCTTTCCTACCAGAAGATCAGGGGTGTGGCAGAAAGACAGCAGTAAGGAGGAGCCAAGGAGTAGCATAGAAAGGCTGCAGAAAGAGTCAGGAGCCCAGAGGAGGGGGCAAAGGAGGTGAGGGGGTGGGGGCAGAAAGTGGAAATGAAAGCAGACAACAGAACATTGCTAGAGAGCAGGAAAAGAGGTGAAAGGAGACAATTTTAGAGAAGAAAATTTTTCGGTCGCTACCCGGATTCGAACCCGGGACCTTTGAATGAGAGGCCAAC